AAGTGTGGCAAGGATGTGGAGAATAGGGAACCCTTGCACATATTACATTCCCATAGGTGGAAATGTAAATTACTATGGCCATAATGAAAAACAGTATGGAGGTTCCTCAAAAAAATTAAAATAGAACTACCATATGATCCAGCAATCCCACTACTTGGTAGAATATCCCCCCAAAAAAGTAAAATCATTATGTCAGAGATATCTGCACTCCCATATTCACTGCAGCATTATTCACAATAGCCAAGCTATGAAATCAACTTATGTGTCCATCAAAAGATAAATGGATAAAGAAAACGTGGTGTATATATACACAATGGAACACTATTCAGCCTCAAAAAAGGAGGAAATCCTGTCATTTGTGGAAAAAAAATGTTTGAACCTGGATGACATTATATTAAGTGAAATAAGTCAGGCACAAAAAAATAAATGGCACATAATCTCATATGTGAAATCTAAAAAAGCTGACCTCATAGAAGCAAAGTAGAATGATCATAAAAGCAAAATAGAATGCTGGTTACCAGGGACTAAGGAGTGGGGGAGATTAAGGAGATGGTGAAAGAATACAGAACTTCAGTGGAGTTGAAGAAACAAGTTCAAGAGATCTATTGTACAACATGGTGACTATAGATTATAACAATGTATTCTATTCTTTCTTTTGAGACAGAGTCTCGCTCTGTTGCCAGGATGGAGTGTAGTGGCGTGATCTCAGCTTACTGCAACCTCTGCCTCCTGGGATGAAGCAGTTCTCCTGCCTCAACCTGCCAAGTAGCTGGGATTACAGACGTGCACCACCATGCCCAGCCAATTTTTGTATTTGTAGTAGAGGCAGGGTTTCACCATGCTGGCAGGATGGTCTTATCTCCTGACCTTGTGATCTGCCTGCCTCAGCCTCCTAAAGTGCTGGGATTACAGGTGTGCGCCACTGCACCTGACCCAATGTATTCTATTCTCAAAAAAATCACTGAGAATTTAAGTGTTCTCACCACACACACACACACACACACACACACACACACACTCACACACAAGATAAGTACGTGAGGTAGGGGTGGCTGTGATGGCTCATGCCTGTAATCCTAGCACTTCGGGAGGATGAAACAGGAGGATTGGTTGAGCCCAGGAGTTTGAGACCATCCTGGGCAAAATAGTGAGACTCCATCTCTACAAAAAATAAAAGAGATGAGGCAGAGGATCATTTGAGCCTGGGAGATCAAGGCTGCAATGACCCGTGATCACTCCATTGCACTTCCACTTGGGTGACAGAGTAAAACCTTGCTAAAAAAAAAAAAAAAAAAAAGGCTGGGCACGGTGGCTTACGCCTGTAAAAAAGAGGCCGAGGCAGGTGAATCACAAGGTCAAGAGATCGAGACCATCCTGGTCAACATGGTGAAACCCCATCTCTACTAAAAATACAAAAAATTAGCTGAGCACGGTGGTGCATGCCTGTAATCCCAGCTACTCAGAAGGCTGAGGCAGGAGAATTGCCTGAACCCAGGAGGCAGAGGTTGCGGAGAGCCGAGATCGCGCCATTGCATGCCAGCCTGGGTAACAAGAGCGAAACTCCGTCTCAAAAAAAAAAAAAAAAATGAGGTAATGTATATGTTAATTAGCTTGATTTAGCCATTCCATAATGTAAACATATCTTTAAAACACCATGTTGTTCATAATCTATCTACATACATAATTTTTATTTGCCAATTAAAACAATAAGTTTTTTAAAAAGACAACTTGTATCCAGAATATATAAAGAACTGTCAAAAATCTATAATAAAACAAAGTACCCTATCTTAAACTGGGAAAAAGATTTATACAAACACTCCACCAAAGAAGATACATGGGTATTAAATATTAGACATTACGGAAATGCTTAATGCCACAGTAAAACACTATTACCCACTATCAGAATGGCTAAGTTTTTGGTCTTTATTTTTTTACCTTTAAGTTCCAGAATACATGTGCAGAATGTGAAAGTTTATTACATAGGCATACGTGTATGATAGGTCCCTGCACCTATCAACCCATCACCTAGGTTTTAAGCCCCACATACATTAGCTATTTGTCCTGATGTTCTCCCTCCTCTCCCCATGCCCACAGGGACCCAGTGTGTGTTGTTCCCCTCCTTATGTCCATGTGTTCTCATTGTTCAACTTCCACTTATGAGTGAGACCATGTGGTGTTTGGTTTTCTATTCCTATATTAGTTTGCTGAGGATGATGGCTTCCAGCTTCATCCATGTCCCTGCAAAAGATATGATCTTGTTCCTTTTCATGGCTGCATAGTATTCTATGGGAGACATAGATATATATATACCTTCCATATATATATATATGGATATATATATATATATATATATATATATCACATTTTCTTTATCCAGTCTATCACTGTTGGGCATTTGGGTTGGTTCCATGTCTTTGGTATTTTGAATAGTGCTGCAATGAACATACATGTGCATGTATCTTTATAACAGAATGATTTATATTCCTTTGGGTATATACCCAGTAATAGGATAGCTGGGTCAAATGGTATTTCTGGTTCCAGATCCTTGAGGAATCAACACACTGTCTTCCACAATGATTGAACTAATTTACATTCCCACCAACAGTGCAAAGGCATTCCTATGTCTCCACAGCTTTGCCAGCATCTGTTGTTTCCTGACTTTTTAATAATCTCCCAGAATGGCTAAATTTTTTTTAAGTGGACAATTTCAAGTGCTAATGAGGATGTAGATCAGCTAGAACTCTTAAACATAGCTGGTTCACATGTGAAATTGTATAGCCACTTTAGAAAACAGTTCTGCAGTTTCTAATAAAGTTAAACATGTATTTTCCATATAAGTCCACAATCCTACTCGTAGGTATTTACCCTAAAAAAGTAAAATATTATCATCAAATTATCTGGGCACGGTGGTGTGCACCTGTAGTCCCAGCTACTCAGGAGGCTGAGGTAGAAGAATCGCTTGAACCCAGAAGGTGGAGATTGCAGTTAGCTGAGATCATGCCACTGCACTCCAGCCTGGGTGAAAGAGTGAGACCCCATCTCAAAAAAATATTATCACACAAATTATGTAAAAAGATGTTTTATAGCACCTTTATTTGCAATCATCAAAACTGAAAACTTTGGACTTGTCGCAGAGGTGAAAAAAAACCCAATAACCATTTAAATATCCTTCAATTGGTAAATGAATTTTTCCATACTGTGGTATTTCCAATCTATGGAATGCCACACAGCAATGAGAAAGAAAAAAACCATGGATACACACAATATGGGTGAGTTTCAAATGCATTAAGCTAAGTGAAAGAAGTCAGGTTCAAAAAGCTTCGTACTGTATGATTTCATTTATATGACATTCTAGAAAAGACAAAACTATAGAGATAGAAGAGATCACTGATTTCCAGGGCTGAAAGTGGTGAGCAGTGACAGTAAAGGAGCCTGAGGTATTTTTTTTCTACATTGTGGTGATAGTTATATGACTGTATGCACTGATTAAAACTCATAGAATTTTTAACATATATAAACCTCACAGGACCATATACCAGCAAGAGTAGATTATATGTATCTTCAATATACATGACTTTAAAAAAATGGTAACAGATAACTGGAGAAGAAATAAAAGGGTTGATATGATGCTGTATTTAAAAAGTAAAATCATTTTTTAAAACAATTGTTCAAGCAAAAATTAAACAGGGAATTTATTACTATTTTGGCCTCTTTTTTTATTTTTTTTGAGACAGAGTCTCGTTCTGTTGCCAGGCTGGATGGAGTACAGTGGTGTGATCTCGGCTCAATGCAACCTCCACCTCCTGGGTTCAACGGATTCTCCCACCTCAGTCTCCTGAGTAGCTGGGATTACAGATGCATGCCACCATGCCCAGCTATTTTTTGTATTTTTAGTAGAAACAGGGTTTTACCATGTTGGCCATGATGGTCTCAACCTCTTGACCTCGTAATCTGCCTGCCTCAGTCTCCCAAAGTGTTGGAATTAAAGGTGTGAGCCACCGTGCCCAGCCTATTTTTGGCATTTTTACTGGCAAAATCTTCAAGTTCTTTTATCCTTAAACATGATATATCAAGTAAAACAAATGCCTACAAGCCTCTAATGAAAACTTTGGTGATGAACATGACAGGAATATTAACCTCTAATTTACTATTCCTTAATTATTATACAGATATACTTTGCTATTCTGGAATATTTCTTTTTTAATGTAAAATAAATGATATTTTTTCTTATGGAGTGAATAATAGAGTCCCTTGTACCTAGTAGGTGTCCATAAACAGTTGCTTAATTGGATTCTATACATTTTGTCTGGAGTCATTAATTTAAATTTCTTAATTTATGCCAAACAAACGGCAAACAGTCTGGAGCTCAGAATGTCTCAGGATTAGTTTGGTTACCCTGAGGGCTGAGGGCTGAAGGCATTCATATCTGAGCAAAGGCATATCTATAACCAATTCAATGTACATGTGCCTATGCAAACACACCAGCTAGGAAACTATGCTTAACATAATGGAAAGGCCTCAACATTAAAGGGATGAGGGTCATGTGCAAAATTCCAGCACTGTCCACTCAAGGCCAAATCTCTAATCAATCTCCTCCCAAGTAAGTGAAAACAATCAAGAGGTACCCCAACTTTCATTTTTTGAAGACAATTCTTAACTGATATGGGTTTTTAGTATGATCTAACACACAGCTTTTTAATTTAATTTTGAAAAGATTGGTTTAAATAAAAGTTAAAAAAGTACATAGTGATAAGACTTTCCCCAATTCTTGTCCCATGTTTGCCCAGTTCCTTTTCCCTCATTAGGTAACCACTGTTCTTTTACTTTTATATAACCTTCCAGTTTCTTTTTGCATCGTTGTATCATCTTTACATAGGAAAGATAGAACATATATTCAATTCTATTGTCTCAAAAACAAGGTTCTTTTCCCATTGTGTTTGAAGAGGATCATTTATGCTTTGTGTTACTAGTCAAATATAAATCACAAATAAAATGTATACCTCTTTCAGAGTCACCCTCTATGACTGCAATCTTGAATACATAAAATTGAGTGAAAATGTTTCTAGGATCATGTCGTTCAGCTTCTGCCACTGCCTCTTTGGCCTGAAAGGAAAACATTGGGTCCTTTTAATAAAATCTACAAAAAAGGACTTACCATATTTTACTAATATCAATAAGGTAATCAAAATAGCTGAGGGATACTCACAATGAAAATATATGAATCTAAGAAAAATATTTGCTTAACTGCTCTTCTAGAATGCTAAAGTAACTGTGAGTTCTACTTCTGGAGATAGAGTGAGTTAGATATGTCAGACTCACCGACCTGCTGAAAGCAACCAAAACTGTTAAATGAAATATTAACTTTTTCCCCCAGAAAGAATAAGAGCAACTGACAAGATAGTAAAAGAATTACCAAGGCAAAATCTAAGGAAAAGTGAGGTCTCAGAGAGGCAAGCAGAAAAGGAAAGTCACTTTTATCTGGTAAGCATTTACAAATGTAAGCAAATGTTAACTTGAGTTTTGAGGAACATCACTAGGTAAGGGAACAGACATCAAGTTCCAAGGGATCACACTCCTAGACTAGGGACAAGCCAAAAGTAAACCCACTCCTACTTACATCCCTAGGGGACTGCAAATAAAGTTACCTTAGTGCTTAACAGAAGGCAGCACAATGGGATGGAGGGAAACAATCCCTGAGGTGTAATACTAGGAGACAAATGTATTTACTGCCCCAAACTATGTTATACAGGAAGCTAACAGACCTAAAGCTGAGAATTTAGTTTAGATAGCTCCCAAAAGTCTACAAAAGCAAATTTAAATCTTCTCTGAAAAAAAGCACCTTCATCTTAGCCTTTGAAATATTTTCATAAATAATTTCTCAAGAACCAAGAGTTGTACACGTTAAAAAAAATGACAAAGCACACTTGGAAACAAGGTACCATAGAAACAAGAAATAGCAGAAGTAGACCCTCAAGTTGCAGATACTAGAATTATGAAACACTGGTTATAAAACAACTAAGCTTTCAAAATCTAAAGAAATATAATGTATGCTCAAAATATATGTATGTGGATTGATACACAATGGTACAAATTAATACAGTTATAGTGGTTGTTTCTAGATGGTATCCATCCTATTTTATTATTGCCTGTGCCATACCAGTTATTAAATACTTTGTATATCAGTGAAGTTAGTAGGAAACAGAGACCATAAAATCTGACCATGGGAATTTGAAACAAAGAAGCTTTTTGAAATGAAAAACCCAATTACCCAAATTAAAACATAATAGACAGGTTTAGTAGTGGATTAGAAACAGATGAAGAGAAAATTAGTGAAGTGAAAGACAAAACAGAATACAGTAGCCATAGTGCAGCACAGAGTGATTACAAACATGGAAGACAGTTAAGAAAGAATTCTATACTTTCTAGGATAGCCACTAAGAGATTAGAAGCAGTAAATAATTTTCACACAAGTAGAAGGGGAAGACTGGAAGGTAAGAAACATTGAAAGTAGTATTTTTAACAAATAGTGCTTGAACAACTAGATATCCACATGCAAAAAAGTACATCTAGACATAGACAACAGACCTCACAAAAATTAACTGAAAATGAATTATAGCCGAAATATAAAACCCCAAACTATAAAACTCTTAGAAGACAACATAGGAAAAAATCTAGGTTAACTTGGGTTTGGCAATGGCTTTTTAGACACAATGCCAAAAGCCTATCTATGAAAAAAAAAATTGGTAAGCTTAACTTCATTAAAATTAAAAACTGCTCTGTGAAATACATCATTAAAATAATAAAAGATAAAAGCCACACATTAGGAAAAAATATTTGCAAAACACATATCTAATAAAGGACTGGTATTTAACATGTATGAAGAATTCTTCAAACTAAACAGTAAGAAAACAAACAACCCAAAGTATAAAATGGGCAAAAGACCTGAAGGAACACTTCACTAAATAAAATATACATATGGCAAATAAGCATATGAAAAGATGCTTAATATCATATGTCATTAGGGTTTTGCAAATTAAAACAGCAATGAGATACCACTACACATCTAAAATATCTAAAATTCAAAACACTTTAACAATATGTAATGCTGGCAAGGATGTGGTACAACAGGAACTCTCATTCATCACTGGTGAGACTGAAAAATGGTATAGCCACCTTGGAAGACACTTTGGCAGTTTCCTACAAAACTAAACATACTCTTGCTATACAATCCAGCAGTTGCACCTTTGGTATTTACTTGAATGTGTCAAAACTTTATGTCTACACAAAAATCCGCACAAAGATATTTGTAGTAGCTTTATTCATAATTGCCGAAATTTGGAAGCAACCAAGATGTTCTTCCATTAGTGAGTATATAAACTAATATATCCAGATAATGGGATATTATTCAGCAATAAAAAAATGAACTACCAACTCATAAAAAGACATGACGGAATCTTAAATTAATATTGCTAAATGAAAGAAAGCTATTTAAAAAGGCTACATGCTACATGATTCCAATTATGTGTCATTCTAGAAAAGGCAAAACTATGGGGATGGTAAAAGTATCAGTGGTTGCCACTAGTTCAGTGAGAGAGAGGAAAGGATGAATAGGTGAACCACAGGGAGTTGAAACTATTCTGTATGGCATAATGGTAGACACGTTTTTATACATTCATCAAACCACATATCATGTACAACACAAAGACTAATCCCTAATATAAAGACTTTAGTTAAAAATAACATATCAATCTTGACTTATCAATTCTAACACATATAGCACACTAATGCAAGATGTTAATGACAGGGGAAATTGAACACCTGAAGAATGGTGAGGGGGTATATGGAAACTCTCTATACTTCCTACTCAGTTTTTCTGTAAACCTAAAACTGCTCTAACAAGTGAAGTCTATTATTTAAAAACACTGATCCCAAAGAGGGCAAGAGAGGAGAGTAAAACAGGATAGAAATGATAAACAGAAGCCGGGTGTGGTGGCTCACGCCTGTAATCTAAGCACTTTGGGAGACTGAGGCAGTCAGATTACCTGAGGTCAGGAGTTTGAGACCAGTCTGGCCAACATGGTGAAACCCAGTTTCTACTGAAAATACAAAAATTAGCTGGGCGTGGTGGCACACACCTGTGATCTCAGCTACTTAAGAGGCTGAGGCATGAGAATCACTTGAACATTGGATGTGGAGGTGGCAGTGAGCAGAGATTGCACCACTGCACTCCAGCCTGAGAATAGAGTGAGACTGTCTAAAAAAAAAAATAGAAAGCATAAAGTTATAGATTTAAACTCAAATACACCTATCATATTAAATGTATAAACACGAAATGCACTAGTTAAAAAACAAAAATAGTAACACTGGATTAAAAATATGTAACTACATGTTCTTTAGAAGTGGCACACCTAAAATATAAATATATTAAAAGTTCAAAGTAAAGGGATTAGAGAAGACCTATCTGGAAAATATTAACCAAAGTGTGGATATATTAATATAAGACAGAAATGACTTTAAGGCAGAAAATAATACTAGATATAAAGGTCACTTCATAACAATAAAACTTCTACAAACAAATATATTACAGTACTAATTTTGTATGTATAAATAGTATGGCCTAAAATATATAAAGCAAAAATAATAAAATTAAATAAAGAAATAAATAAAAAAATATCTTAAACAAAATATTAACAAACCAAACAAAGTAAAATAGGAAAAGAATAACATCATGACTGAGTTGAGTTTTCTCCAGGAATGTAAGGCTGGTTTAAACCAAAAACTCCGGCCGGACGTGGTGGCTCATGCCTGTAATCCCAGCACTTTGGGAGGCCGAGACGGCGGATCACCTGAGGTCAGGAGTTCGAGACCAGCCTGGCCAACATGGTAAAACCTCATCTCTATTAAAAATACAAAGATTTGCTGGGCATGGTGGTGTGTGCCTGCAGTCCTGGTTATTCAGGAGCCTGAGGCAGGAGAATTGCTTCAACCTGAGAGGCAAAGGTTGTAGTGAGCTGAGATCATGCCACTGCACTACAGCCAGGTTGACAGAACAAGACTCCATCTCAGGAAAAATAAAATAAATAAATAACTCCATCAATATAATTGAACACATTAGTGACATAAAAAAGAAAAAAATCATATGATTATCTGAACAAAACATAAAATCTCTTAACAAATGATCCATAGATAAGGACTTCCCAAGTCTGATGTATGTTATCTATACTGGGTTGAATATTGTCCCCTCCTAAATTCATGCCCATCACAGAACCTCAGAATGCAACTTAATTAAGAAATAGTGTCTTCATAGATATAGTCAAGTTAAGATGAGGTGATAATTGATAAGATGGGCCTTAAACCAATGACTACTGTCCTTATAAGAGGAAAATTTGGACAGACACAGATAGTTGAACACCACGTGAAGACATAAGACAAAGCGATAACACCATGTGATGACAGAGGCAGAAATTTGAGTGATGAACCTACAAGTTAAGGACTACTGACTGGCAAACATTAGAATCTAGAAAGAACCCCCTGCTAAAGTCTTCAGAGAGAGCATAGCCTTACAGAAACCTTGATTTTGGACTTCCAGCCTCCAGGACTACAAGTGTACAAATTTCTGTTGTTTGAAGTCACCCAATTTGTAGTGCTTTGTTATAGTATCCCTAGGAAATTAATACCTTATATATAAAACAACAACACAAAAAAACACCCTAAAGCAAACATCATGCTTAATGGTAATTTATGATAGCTTTCCCTTTTAAATTCAGAACACCACTTCAACATAGTAGTTAAATTATTAGACAAAATAAGAAAAGAAATATAGAAAACACATTGAAAAAGAAGAAACACAATAGTCAATTTATATAATTGGATATGTAGACTACTGAGAAGACTAAGTAAATTATTACAACTATTAAGAGACTTTAGCAAAGATAGCTGTATAAAACACACATAAATATGTATAGATATGCCATATGAGGCTGGACATGGTGGCTCATGCCTGTGATCCCAGCACTTTGGGAGGCTGAGGTGAGAGCATCCTCTGAGTCCAGGAGTTTGAGACCAGCCTAGGCAATATAGTAAGACACCTGTCTCAACAAAAA